GATCGTTAATGAAAATGAGTTGAAGGCAACCTTTGAAGCAGATCAACAAGCAGAGTTGACTAGCAATGATAATTTTCTTGAGCACATGGATGTTCTGCAGATTGGCAGCATCTCTATTAATCTCTCTTGTCTGGTTCTCACGCTTCCTTTGGTTTTTCAAGCCAAGGGCAACGAGACTACCCATGTTTCCAATGGCAGCATGCTTGTTGAGGAAGAAGTGATAGAGGTTCCAGCCCAAGAAAAGGAAGAGGAGCATGATATCCTTTCGGAACAAATTATCTTTAACAAACCAGATGAAAATGTGGCTCGTCATATAAAGCCACTCTACATTTCAGCGCACATGGATGGAGTTCCAGTGAATCGAGTCCTTGTCGACAATGGAGCAGCAGTCAACGTCATACCTTATTTTATGCTGAGGAATTTGGGTAAAAATTCTAAGGACTTGGTTTATACTGACGTAACCATCAGTGATTTCACAGGTGGTGTTAGCAAATCAAAAGGAGTGCTACCGGTTGCACTTACTGTCGGCAGCAAGACGTCAATGAGTGCTTTCTTTGTTGTAGACTCTTCTGCAACTTATAATGCATTACTGGGACGTGATTGGATCCGTTCGAGTTGGTGTGTTCCATTTTCTCTCCATCAAAGACTCATTTTTTGGAATAGAGGCAAAACTGAGGTGGTCTATGCTGACAACAGACCATTCTTAGCCAATTCCAATATGGTGGAAGCACGGTATTATGATGAAGACGTAGGAACCATCTGTTTCTTCGGCATGGATAGACAAGTAAGACCTCGTGGAATCACTGCTTGCAACAAGCCTACCTTGGCTAAGTATGTGGTTGACGAGGTATGCAATGAACTCTTGCGGCCTACTGCCATTATTCCATATAGGCCGCAAGAGGAGCTCAAAATTGAAGAGTTATTATGAAGAAATCCAGAATAAACAAAGAAAGAAGGGAGGCCGTATATGAAATTCTAAAGAAATTAGCAGCCTATTTTGCTGAAAGAAATACAGAAGCAAATCTATCGGAGGTGGTACATGAAGGTGAGGAAGACATCCATACCGACGGAGTCACAATGGAGGAGTTAGATCTGGCCCCTGCAAAGCTGGATGACCTCAGGGATGATGTACAAGATCCATTGAAGGAAGTTAATCTGGAAACGGAGGCAGAGCCACGCATTACTTTTGTCAGTGGCTTGCTGCTGCCAGAGATGCGAGATCAAATAATTTGTTTACTACATGAATTCAAAGACTGCTTTGCCTGGGATTATTCTGAGATGCCAGGTTTAGACCGAGAGT